GAGGAGAGGAGAGGAGAGGAGAGGAGAGGAGAGGAGAGCATGGGGAGCTGGGACACCCATTCCCCTATCTCGATTCCACCGATCCAAATGTGTAAAGACTTCCAGTGTTTGTTGGCCAAAGAAACACCCTTTGTAAAAGTCGGCTACAGCTCCCGAGTGCAAATGTGGAAGAAAAGCGACCTGTTAACCTAACTTACAAAGTCAGGGGAGCCTTGGAGCGGGTTCGGAGCCCGAGTGGACGATCGGGTACCGCTCTGCTCACAGCTTTCCCATACCCGTTTTCCACTAACCCACTTCCCCGAGATGAGCTGCTGTTGTCACCATTTTTGGGTTTTATTTTTCTGTTGCAGAGCACAGAGCAGTGGCACTGTTTTATGTGGGACTTCATTGAGAAGCGCTTTGCTTTATGGCTGGCCTTGCCTCTTGCTTTTCCTCTCCCAGGCATTCCAGGCTTATTCCCGAGCGGAACCACCAGCAGCCGAGAGAATGGAGGGCTAAATGGGAGGAGGTGAAAGGTAGGAGCCTACAGGACCCAAAGAGCCTCCTGTTCCCCTGGCCCCTTGCTGCCCTCATCCCGAGCGAGGGAACCGCCTGTTCTTGGCGCCTGCCGCGCGGGTGCCCACGCGGACGGCGCCGATGACGGGGGACACCTGTGCTGGGGCGCGGACCACCCGCTCGCTTGCAGAGGTCACCCAGCAGATGGTGACTTTTGGTCACTGGAGAGGAGCCAAGGACAGGAGATAAAAGGCTCCCCGGCTGTTTAATGCACCCCTCCCCTCTCCGGCCCCCTGCAATACGGGCTCGCTTGCATCTTCCAAAGCCCTGGGCTGGTTATTGAAGCTGCTCCTAGGGGCAGCGCCGCTGTCAATATTTGCTTTGGGGGAATAATTGCAGCCCATTAAGGCTCGTTTTGTGGCCACGTGGCCTCCTCCTCCCTCGTGGCTCTGCTTTTGGCACAGAGGCCGGCTGACAGCGCAGCCCCCGTTGCTCTTTGTAGTTTCCTAAAGCTCCACAGATGCAGCCCTTATTTCCATAAGCGCACGATAACCACGGCCTGGGGGTTAACCAGACATCCCAAACAGCCCTCTCGGATTTGGAACAGCAGAGCTGGGATCCTGGCGAGCCCCGGCACCCCAACTGAGACTCAGCTCCATATTCCAAGGAGGAACTTCCCTGTGGATTTGAGAGGCGTGTGGAGCAGCAGCTCCTCTCAGAAGCTCACAGAGCTTTGCAGGCTTCGCTCACCCTGGTAGGTAGGAGCGCAGGCCCCGCTCGCTCCCTCACCCGCAACGTCGGCCTTGATTTATTTTTTATCAGATAATATCTTCTGTGTTGCAAAGTATCTGGCTTCAAGCTTGACCTCGCCGCCAAGCTGCCAAATAGGATCCGGGTGGGATTTGCGCAGCAGATGTGCGGGGAGGCAGCCGGGCCGAGTCCAGCTCCCGGAGAGGGGAGCAGCTGGAGGGACATGAAAGGGGCCTGTTCCCGGTCCCCCGGCGCGGGATGCGCTGCCCGGGGAGCAGCGATGGAGCCGCATGTTGCCCTGGCCCAGGCAGCAGCGTCTCCCGGGCGGAATTCGCCCTCCGGCCGCGGCTCCGCTGGAGCTGGCGGCGCTTTGGGAAGCGCTTGCCCGGAGCGGGACGGGAAGCGGCCGGCTCCCTCCGAGGGGCCTGGCCCGTCGCAGCCTCTCAAAGCGCAGCGCTTGTTTACTTCTTGGCTATCGGGTTTCCTGCAGGAAGGCCGGCAACTGCCAAGGTTTTTATTGGATCCCCCTGAAAGGAATTTGGAGAGCCTCGTGCTTGTTGTCTTTGCTGCGTCGGCAGCAGTCGGGGGGTGTTGGTACCTTTGAATGAGAGCGAGGGGTGCAGGGATTTGGCACGTGGCACCGGCAGCTCCATAACGATGCTGTCGTTTCCAATGGGTTTCCTTGTTGTCTCCCTCTCCGGAGCGTCTCAGAAGGGATCGGGGCTGCTGTTTGTCTGGGAACGCTCGGAGCGCTTGTTGGAAGCACTTGAAAGAGCCTGAGCTCCGTAGGGCTCCACGTGGGAAGCGTCCTTGGAGCTCCCCTTGTTTTAGCCCCAGTGGGTTGGGGGGTTTCACGGTTGTTAGTGGCTTGGACAAGGGCTCAACTGTTCTCGGAGGTAATTTTATAGATTGGAAATTCCGGAGGCCACGAGCGGTGACTCAAGCAGAGCTTCAATGTGTCGAGGAGAAAACCGCAGGGCCCGGACGGCCCTCGGACGCTGCCAACACGGACCAACGCGCAGGGCCCCATCCCTGCCCGTGCACGAGGGGCCCTTCAGTGCTGGCCTTTCCTAGGGCCCCTCCACACATGCGGTTATGGAATCCCGGGAAAACGAGAGCCCTTCCCTCCCGCTCGCACAGGCCGGATGCGCCGCACAAGCGGTTTCCTGTTGCTCTTCCAGCTTGGCCTGCAGGATCCGGGCCCCGCATCCTGCGGCAGCGAGCGCTGGGAATTTTCCTCGCTGAAACGGGGGGAAAAACATGGCTCCGTACTCCCGGCGGGTCAGTACCGAACCAACCCAGTTGGGCCGGGTGCCTCGTCCGCGTGCCGGCCGCCTGGGACGCCTTTACTTGGAGAAGGGAGTAAACTCCCTTCTAAACTGCAGATGCCCGAGGGGAGCAGCGCGCGGGTCCCGTCCCCGTCTCCCGTTTGCGGCGCGGGGGAGCCGAATAAACGGAATTAACGGGGGAAGGAGCGAAGGAAGCGGGAGCCGGGGGGGGCCGCCCCGGGGCGGAGCCGGGGGAGGCGCCAGGGCGGTCCCGGCGGCGGCGGCGG